GGCGGCGGCCTCCGGCCGCCGCAGCGGCGCCGGAGGCGCTGCCGCCGCCGCGGCCTCACCGGCGGCTCCGGCTGCAGTGGACCCTCGCCGGTTGGAGCGCGCGGAGCGGTTTAAGGCTCGCGGCAACGAGTTGTTCCGGGCAGGGAAGTTCGCGGATGCGATGACGGAGTACGGCAAGGCCATTAACGAGCACCCCGACAACCCGGTGTACTACAACAACCGGGCGATGGCGTGTCTTAAAATCTTTCGGTTCGAGCAAGCTGAGGAGGATTGCAACCGAGCACTCCAGTTTGACCTCAAGGAGGCTGACAAAGTGGGTTACGTGTGTGTGTGTGCGTGTGCGTTGGGTGGGTGTTGGGTGGGTGTTTGTTTATTTGTTGGGTGTGTATGGGTGTGCGTGTGCGTGTGGGTGTGGGTGCGTGGGGTACCAATGGTGTTGTAGTGGATCACGATCAAATGTCGGTGGAAGTTTGGGTTTATATTTTGGGTTAGGTTCCGTCCCCTTTGATTGGCCTCCTTTGTGTGGCTGGAGGGACTGACGTGGAGCCCTAAGTACTTGTCATGGTGGTGTTCGTAAGGGGTAAGGGCCCCTCCCTCTCCCCCTCCTTCCGGGTATCCATCGGGTTGTCTTTTCCCTCCCTCATCCTTAAATGACACTGCAATTTTGCAAATGCCTCCCCCCATATGTGCGCTTGTCCGCACATATTTATGTCTCTACGTATGTATGTATGTATGTACATATGTGTGTTAAAGTACATAGATATGTGCGTGTGTGTGTGCGTGTGTGCGAAACCCACGCGGCTGCCTTACATACACATGTACACGTCTGCACACATCTCATCACGCCGCATGTCGTCGCAGGCTAAGGCTCTGCTCCGTAGGGCCACCGCCCGGACTGCGCTCCAAAAGTACGTGGAGGCGGAGAAGGACTTGCGACAGGTATATATATGTGGGTGGGGGGTGGGGTGGGGGGGAGGGGTATGTGCGGCCAGCATATTTTTTCACTGGACGTTTTCGGGACGGAAGGGGTCTCTTTTCTCTCTCTCTCTCTTTCATTTCTCTCGAAAGGAGGGAAAAGGTGCCGTTCTCCGCCAGCCCGCCCGACCTCCCGCGCGCGCTCTTTAAAGGCATCTTCCTCTTGACGCCGAGAAGACGACATTGAGAATGGGGATGAATCGCCATCCCCCACCCTCCCATCTCCCGGGACGCACGCCACGCCGAAAAGTGGCATCAAGCCAACTATGCATCCAGCATCAAGCCGCCAACAGCCACAACCGTTGCCAACGAACCCCAACCACCGCTCCTTCTCCTCCCAGGTGTTGTCAGTGGAACCTAACAACCGCCAAGCCCGGGAGGACCTCCAGGTGGAGTGGGAGTGGGTGGTGGGAGTGGGAGTGGGAGTGGGTTGCGTGATCAGTGCTCATTAGCCAGTGTGTCTACAGAGTGCTTTTGCGGTGTATCAGCGGAAAACTGTAATTGTACTTGTGTCGTACAAAACTGTGTGTGTGTCTCTCTACATGTGTATGTATGTATGTATGTATGTATGTATGTATGTTGTTACAGGGTGGTCAACTTCGCCAGCGGCCCCCTTTCCCGGGGCAGTCCCTGCTCTCCCCTGCTAGAGGGGCACCCTAATCCGTCACCCCATCCGACTTCAGAATGTATTCGTTGGGTTCGGCAACTCACCACCAGCATCCAACCAAATCTAGCGGATCAACGGCGCATCAACTTAGTTCCTGGTCAGCTCGCAAGTTGATATTATCACGTCCTACACCGTCCATAAGATGGGGGGCCACCTCCCATTTCATCACTCCTCAAACACCCGAGGAGCCGGCAGGCGGATTTGAACCCGGGTCGACTGGGAGCAGAAGTCAGGCCTTAACCTCTGCCAGCCGCCTGCCATATATGTATGTATGTATGTATGTATGTATGTGTGTGTGTGCCAGTGGAGGCATTAGAAAGGAAATGGTGCGCGTCGTAAGGACCACAGCTGAATGGTGTGTGCAATGTACGTGTGTGGGCTTATCCTCCGAATCACCCTCTCCTTTCCCTCCTCTTGGTGGAATGTGAAGAGCTCATCACCGACCCTTTTTATTTAGACTTCGGCAGTTGAATCAATCGTCCTCCCTTTTGTTTGTTTGTATAATGATTTCTCCCTCCCTCCTCTCTCCGCGGAGGAGTTGTCTTCGTGCGTAACGATGCAGCACATCGTGATCCCCCTCCTCTCCCACCTCCCTCCTCTTTCCCCGCCGCCTCCCCTCTTGTGGACGGACACGTCCAACCCCCCCGCGGTACACATCACAAAACCACCTCGTGGCGGCACATCACATCACAGAACCTGCAGCAGATGAAAGCTGACATGGCGGCAGCTCAGCAACGAATGGTGGCCGAGTTCCAAGGGCAACGGCGACTTGCCGCTGGAGCGGCGCCGGGTGCTCCCCCCCGTAACGCTGCTTCGGGAGGCAGCAGCAGCGGCGGCGGCGGCGGCGCCCTGCCGCCCGGTTTCGATCCCGCCTCGCTGCCTCCGGGCTTGGATATTTCCCAGCTTGCAGCGGCGGCGGGCGGGAATCCGGAGGCGTTGATGGGGCTTATGGAGGCGGCGGCGGCTGGCAGCGGTGGTTTCCCTGGCGGCGGCGGCGGCGGCGGTGGCTTTCCGGGCGGCTTTGGTGGTCTGGGTGATTTAGGAGGGCCGATGTTTGGCGGCGGCGGCGGCCGATGGTGACCCGCTTGACAGGGAGGAAGGGCGGGGAGGTTATTAAGTAGCTGACTGGTGGGTGGTTGGCTTTGTAGGCCAGGGCCAGGTGGTAATAGATTGAGTTATGGGGCCCCCGGGCCCCGGGCGGCTCGTGGGTTTGAGTGCATCTTGGCTTGCGGGACTCGCACCATCCACGCTCCCGCCGAGCCGTACCAACGCTGTAGTGCGTTAGTCAAATTAGGGCACATAGACCTACAGACATTACCTCACATTAACTTGACATTTTCAGACGAGAGGGAGGGAATGAAATCTCAAACCAGAGACGCACACACACACACAAATAGGGCCCAGGAAGCTCCCTGGGGGGGGGGAGGGCGAGTGGGTGGGTGGGTAGGAAGCGGAGGTCCTTCTCCAGGGAGGGATTGGAGAGAAGCGGTGGGCATCAGTTAGGTGGTGTCACTCGCCAGTGTGTCTTCATCTTTATAAGGCTCGTTGAACGCTGGTGGGCGGATAGGAGAATGGTACTGAGGATTAAGAGATAACACAAGGGTGGAGGGAGAGAACAAGGGAGGAGAGGTTGGGGGGTTTCATGGTATCGGTCGTGCCGGCCGGGGGTTTCTGATGTCAAAGAAATGGAAGGGGGGGGTACGTAGGGGGTGAGGCACGATCGATCGTTTCGGGAGGATGCATAGCGCGAGAGAGACAGACAGACACGTGCTCGTGTGTGTTTTGTATGTTTTGTCTGGGTGCAGGATGCTGCAACCCGTCGCCCTACACACCGCAAGAAGGCCATAAGTGATGACCTTTTCATGCGTGTGCGCGTGTATGCATTTGTGTGCGATAGGAAGTGCTCTTTATTTTGCCAGTATGTTGCCGTACACGTGCAATGTGGGTGAGGGCGCACGGGGAGCAGGGAGCTGAGAGAAATGTTTAGCTTCGGCAGCGGCGGTAACAACTCCTTGTATGGAGGCTTAGCAGGTTGGCTTGGCGCGCACTGATGACGTGCCATTGAGTGTTACCGTACTGTACGGCTGTGTACATTGCCCGTGGCCTCTTCCGTGTGCTGCGTTTGTTTTCGGTATTGTGAACAGCTCCACGTGCGGCGGGCGTGTTGTCCGGCCCAGGTGCCCAGCAGCAGCAGATGTCCTCCAGGACGGGTCTAAGAAAAGGGGTTGACACCCAACAGGACGGCTGTCTGTATCAAGACGAGCAGCATCAGGATTAGTGCCTCACCGGGGACGGCGAGACAAGATCATCATCATCATCAGCAGCAGCAAACTGAATCCTGCGTTTTGAGGTGAAGACGCGCGACAGAGAGCTGTAAATGTGTGCCTATGTGATGGTTGGGAGCGAGCCGCATAACAGGAACACGGGAATGGAGCGCAGAGGTGAAGTCCAAAGATGAGGGGGGCTCTGACTCGACCCTGACCTGGCCATGGGTGGGACACGTGGCTTGGAATGGGACAAAGTGGTTGGGCGTTTGGTCATTACCAGGCCCCTCAGTAAAATATATGTTTTTGATGCTCCGACTTAGGGCCAATTTATGCTCGCCCTTCCCTCGCCCTATGCTGGCCATCTGTCAAGCAGGCCGCGTGCACTCTGCCCGTCGATCTACGGCGGCTCGCTCGGCACTGGATCATTACCGTACGTAGTGCGTGCGCCTCATGCCACAATCATTGGCAGCACGGCATCATGCAGGTTGGAGGCACCAATATCACTTTTGTAGACTTCAGCCGACTTGACCGAGCATTCCAGCCAGAGCTCTAGAAGAAGAGTGACCGGTTACTCCTGAGCCATGGTAGCGCCCCGCTGGCCGCGCGGTGCGTTAGCTCTGAACAACTACTCTCCCGTCTGACGCATAATAAAGCGTTGCTGCTTTCTTTGGACAGGCCCAGTTCCATGGCTGGCACTTGTTGGCATGGGTATCGGAATTTCTGCAGCATTCTTCCCTACAGCACGACTACTACCAATCATATCTCAATCCTTCAGCATAGGAACGCTTGTATTCAGGTATTAAAGCGCAATCATGCGCAGGTGCTTTTTTGTGAAGCTTTGACCATCAAGTTTGTTCCGTGCAGGTCGGAATTCGGCTACCAGGTTATCATGGGGTCAGCCATCGTCGCACATGTCGTGGAAGCTTTCATAACTCTTGGCATTTGTGCAAAGAACAAAGTCAGCGCGGGTCACACTTTGTAAGTTTACTTTGCACCTAGGTCGTACAACCGTCAGCCATGCGCACAGCCTGAAACCTACACGTCTCGCTCCTTTCGCAGCCTTTGCTATTCCCCAAGCCCCCTTGTACCGCAGCAAAGCCCATCTTATGGGGACGCTTGGCCCAACAGCATTGATGAGTTTGACCTGGTTGACCTAACGCGGTCACCCAAGCCATACAGACGCAGCAAAACTTGTGTACAAATCAACCCTCATGGAAACATGTTTATATTTTCAGGGTCTTGGACGGGTGGGGCTTGCGAGAGGGTCATCTCATGTGGCCACGACCCCTGTACCGCCTACAAAACCTTCCCCCACCACCACCTGACTGACCCTCCACCGCCAACCTCTCCACCACCGATTTTTGTCGCAGGGGCTGGTTTTGCATAGTGATGCTGATCGGCTACCCGGGAATCCATGAGCTTAAGACGCGGCTCAAACAAGCGAAGCAGAAGCAAGGGTGACGTGTTGAAGCCTCTGGAAGCTGTCACTGGTTTCCTCTCCCCCGGTGCCCAAACTCAAACCCAAACAACAGCGCCGTCCGGAGACTGCTTTGGGTGTCGGGGAACCGTGGGGGAAGGAGCCGCGAATGCGGTAACGTGCTGGTCGGGTCTCCAGCTTGAATCCAGACGCCTTCAAGTCAAGGGCTTACACTGAATCTCTGTGCTGTTACCGGTCAGCAATGCACGGCATCTCGCTGTTGTTAGCGCGATATCGGCTTTGGCTGGAGTCGTGGTGGTGGCTGTGAACATTTGGGAACTTTGAAGTGTTGAATGGTGTCTGTGATGGTGGTGGTGGTGGTAGTAATATATATGGTAGTAATGTATGTAGGAGTGCGTTGACGAGAGGGCGGATGTTATCACGGTGTATCACTTGAAGGTGTAGGTGGGGGTGGGGGTTCCAGGGTGGCGGAGTGTGTACGTATGTATGCATGTGCGCCTGTACATCACGTGGAAAACGCGGAATACTAACCCGACGAATAATAATAATAATAATAATAATAATAATAATAATAATAATAAACGCTCTTTGATTTCCAGCAAGATATTACATACCAGCAGATGATGATTCCAGACGCATGCAAAAGCCATCCAGGATGCTCTGAGAGGTGATACGATACGATGCGATGTGGCAAACACTAATGAAGTATATTTTTTGTGTCAATCGCAGATTTATCAGGGGAACACTGGAAACCGCTCTGACCGCGACGTAAACACACATACATATGTCGCACTGGCCGCCGTGGCGCCGCACCACACTACAACATACAAAGCAACATACATGACTTTGCTGTCCTCTAGGAAAACACGCACCGATATTGCAGGTGGTGGTTCAGATGTCCGTCGCCTGCGCTTCATAGCCTGCATAACCTCTCGCTCAGCTGTGGCATCATGCGGCCGCCAGCCACCCATCCTGCACAGACTCCAAACCCTAGCGCTGTCTAGTGCGTCTGCAAGTACGTATGAATGTCCGCGTGTATCTCTAGTACAGGGCAAGGAAAGCGCGACACCGGGGCAAAAGCTCACGTGCTCACCGGTGACCGCAGCGCTACGTACACACATACATACATACATACATACATACATACGTACACATACACAAATACACAGACGCTTGCGATTTCCCCTAGGGCAAAGGCAGGAAAGCTATCAACGTACTGATTGTTGAACACGGGTCAAACAAAATACGTTCGTAGCGGCAGCGCGCAACAACAACATCAATAACAATGATAATGATAATGGCGTTTCAATATGTATATAACATTATGTACGTAATATTTTATATATAATAAAGTATATTATGACCATAATATCAACTAGTTCTGGGAGATGATGCGAGTATTAGAATATTTCGTACACTAGTACGGGTCCCCGAACTAGTACGGCATTTCGTTCATCTATATGTAATGATGATAATACCGGAATACGACGCTCGTTTACTTGTATAATACTCTCCGACTTACTCAGCAGCCATTACCGTGGATGTGGAGATGTATGAATGCGTCAAGGGAAAGAACATGCAGACAAACAGCAGGGCGACAAACAGACAAACAGACCGACAAGCAGGCATTATCGAACAGACGAACAAGCAACAATTGATCCGCAAGCAGCCTGGCATCTTAGGTAGGATACGGCAAGTACGGCAACTTGACGACGCCAGACGCAAGCCAGGCTAGCCGCGGACAGTCCGATGGGGCAAGCGCGCCAGTCGAACGACGCCACAAAGCCACGACACGATCTATATACTACGATATATAAGGCCCACAGATCCCATCAGGCCATCGCTACAGAATCCCGCCCCCGCGGCCGCCGCCGCCGCCAGGTACGCAATGAAATGATGCCGTATGCAGAGTAGTATTCCCAGGCACCGCCATTGCTGCCGCTGAAGACGGCGATGGCGAAGATGCCGCCGCCAGCGGCATCACGGCCGGCGGCAGCGGCGACTTGGGCGACGACGGCGGCGGCAGCAACGGCTGCAAATGAGGGTACGTCGTCCGCGGCAGCGGCGGCGACCTCGCCACCGTCGCTGCTTCCGCTGCCGCCGCCGCTGACACATGCGAGCTCGTGCTAGGTTTTAGCCGACGCGGCGTCGGAGTGGCCGCTAGGTGAGGGGACAAAGTCAGCGGCAATCCGCCACTACCGGATGACGACGCACGGACAGACGGTGCCGCCGCCGCCCCCGCCGCCGCCGCCGTCGTCGTCGTCACCGCCGCAGCGGAGGAAGCGCAAGCAGCGCCAGCACCCGCGGCGCCGAAGCCACCGCTACCACCGGGCAACTGCTTTTGGTCCTTCTGCGCCTGGTGGTGGTGGTGGTGGTGGTGATGCTGTGGTTGTTGTCGTTCCTGTTGTTGGGAGTCCACGAAGGCCGCAGTGAGCTCCAGGGGGGGAGCGGAGGACATGGATTCCAGGCGCAACCTGCATGTCAAGTCCCCGGGTCCGCCGGGCTCCGAGGTCTGAGGGGGCCTCCCTGGAGTACGTGGGGAGGAGCAGGACGGGGAGGAGGAGGGGGAGGAGGAGGCAGCTCGCGACAGGAGGCCGCACCCCTGCTGTTGCCTCTGCTGCTGTTGCTTCTGCGGAGCGCAGGGTGGAGCTGTGGCTGTGGCTGTGGCGGTGGCGGTGGTGATGGGGAGGGGTTTGGTCTTGTTGTGTTGGTGGGGAGCGGGAGCTGGGGGGCCCGGCAGCAGGGACGCCTTGTTGCCTCCGCCGCTGTGCACACACAGACACACACACATACACATACGCATACACACACAGACACACACACAGACACACAGACACACACACACACAGACAGACAGACAGACAGGGAGAGGATGCCCGGCGGCGGCGACGAGGAGGAGGGCATTGGCGCGAGCGGGGGGCCGAGGAGGGGAGGGGGATTAAGGGAGGAGGGGCGCAGGGGAGGGGAGGGGAGGAAGGGAGGAGGGAGGACCCCGGGGCTTTAGACACGGCGTTGGTCCATACATGGCCCATATAGCACCCACCCACCCACCCACCCACCCACCCACCCACCCA